CCCCTGTCAAACACACACACACACACACACACACACACACACACACACACACACACACACACATCCGTTATGACACTCGTCTGTCAGACACTGATGGTTCTGATGGTCAGTAATGCAGCAGCGGTCAGTACCTTGGTGATGTGTGTGGTGGTGGTGGTGCTGGTGGTTTCTGATGTGATGGTCTGAGCGCTCAGCAGAACGCCAGGATCAGTGTCTCCGTCCGTCTCGCCCTGCAACGATTATTAAAATGATTACAATTTAAATTCTTCAGTGTCACATGATCTTCAGAAATCATTCTAATATGCTGATTTGCTGCTCGAGAAACATTTCTGTAAATGTAAAATTCTTGATGAGAAATAAAATAGACTCAAATGAGTCACTAGTCATCATTCAGTTAGAGTCCAGAGCTGTAAAATGAATGAGGAGCAGCTCAGAGCAGCCGATGAGTTCATACTGAGATCTCTGACTTTGGGTTCTTGGCTGATCTGAGCACAGTTCGATCACAAAAGATCACAGAAAACTTTTACTCAGGAGAAACATCTGAGACTTCAACAGACATCTGCTGTCTTGAAGGAGCGTGTCTGCGATGTGATTCTTCAGTGTGTTTGTGGTGGATGAGATGAGTGTGAGCTCACACACCGGCAGGGACTCGTATGTGATGGTCTTCATCTCCGTGTGGATCTGTGTGTCCGTGTCTCCTGACAGAGTCCTGGAGAAACTCACCACACCCGACCACACTCACTCTCACACGCACACACACACATACACACACGTGTAATGAAAACTGAATCTTCTCATAAGAAGCTCTTATGAAACACACACAGTATGCCGGCGCTAGTGAGGAGAGGGCGGATGTTAGGGGTTTCAGGTTTGGGGTCAATCTGTTGGTTTGGGGTCGCGGGGTCATGAGGTCATAAAGTCACCTCTTTACCGGCGGTCAGTTCTACCTCCCCATTGTGACCCTCAGCCACACCCCTCTGTTCGGACGGGCTCATGTTGGGTGACTGCTCATCATCATCATCATCATCATCAGTGGACAGAGAGAAGCTCTCTCCTCCAGACTCACTGTCGCTGTGGGAATCGGCCCTCGCGGGGCCCGCATGTGTGAGGGGCCCGGAGAAGTTAGCCGAGTTTACACTGCCGGAGTCGCTGGAGTCGTCGTCAGACTCATCGAGGGACTGCACTGAGCTCAGCGGCTCCACACACGCAACACACGCTTGATAATACACCGCAGGCTCCAAGGGCCCTTCTGGAGGTTCAGGTACCTGAGGCTGGTCCAGCGGTTCCTCTGCCGGCGGCTGCTGATCCTCTTCTTCAGCCAGATGCCTCTCTGGACTCTCTGAAGGCTGTCAGACAAATAAAGAATATATGATCAACAGGCAGAAAACCAAACAGAAACTGAATGATCTGCTTTTATATCAGCAGCAGTTAGTAAAATACAGCTTTGTCTGTTTGAATGGAGATAAACTAACATCTCTAGAACTGTTCACCGCGATCACACGACAATAACATGTCAAATCAGCAATAATCACATCATTAGTTTAGCTGCTTTAGCTCAAATCAAACTCTTCAGCACAAATGTGATTGGCTCATTTGACTGAAAGGTGGGACTTCCTTTTATTATTATTTATATTCTATTATAGCATTCATTTATATTATACTTTTATATTTTCATTATATATTTTATATTTAGCTTTTATTTCAATTTTAATCATTTTAATACTTTTCCTTATTTTAATTTTAATTTTCAACAAATAGTTATATTTAATTTTATTTGAAGCTTTATTTAAATTGAAAATTAAAATTATTTTAATAGTTTTAGCTTTAGTTAGTTCCAGTAATATATATGGAGGTTATTATTTTTTACCTTATTTTGCATTTTGTTTTGTCTTTTCCAGTATAAATACCGAAACATTCCTAAATAAAAATACATTTACCTGAAAAGAAAAATTACGAAAGATATTAATTTTCGTTTTCTGATAAAAATGATCAAAATTAATAAAGTTTATGGTTTATGGTCAATGGAGTAAAAAATAATAATCTTGTTTTCCATGTGAATTAAGTTGATTTTTCTAACCGATTTTTTATTCTTGTTTTAAGTATAAACTCACTTCATTTTACTAAATCTTTCAAAAACCAAGATTTAATATCTTAAGTAATTTTTGCTTCTCCAGTAAATGTATCTTGATTTAAGAATATTTAGATATTTATACCGGAAAAGACAAAAACAAAATACAAAACAAGACTAAATACTAAGCACAGTATCAACACTGCTCCTGTTTGTGCTCAGCTCCATTCAGTTCAGTTATGAAGTGCTTCTGACAATCACTATTGATCTAAATGAGGTTTACAGAGAAGCATCTCTGAGGTGTTTGACTAAAACCTTGAGGGGAACATGAGAAGCTCTTTCTCCTCCTTATTCAGTCCTCGTGAGAACAGATGAAGGAACAGATCTGCAAACTGAGTCTTTACAAAAGAACTGTTGCTGTAAATCAGAGCAGAGATGAGAGATGGGCTGAATGACACGATGTCTGACAGACACGAGGCTGATCGAGGACAGACGCTTAAACACCACGGGCATCAGAATATATGAACTCAGATCGGTACGCAGGCTGGTTTCTAGAGTTTCTCCAGAGCTGCACCTTGTGTAAAGCCTGCGGCTGCGCGATCAGAGCCGGAGACGCAGACGCAGACGGAGCCCAGCTGCGAGTGGACTGCAAGAGCGCCGTGAGCTCAGGAGACATCTCATCGAAACTGGGCTTAGGCTGAACACAGAGAGACACACAGCGTTAAACACACACACACTCACACACACTCACACTCACACTCTCTCTCTCACACACACACACACACAC